ATTCAAACTGCCCAGTTGCGCCTCATACGCACTACCCGGAAACTGTTTCTTTAAGACCGTCAGAGCTACCCTTCGGCTAGTTCCGCCTCTCATGTGGTTTATCCGTCCAGCTGCATTTGCGTTGATGTTTACATAGGCAGGAGTAACCGTAGGTTGACTCAGAGTGCGGCTGAGCATTAGCCAAAGTGGGTCGAATAAATGACGGCGCAACAAAATGTAGCATCCCACAGAATGAATCGGAGTCCGTCATCATCTATCTCCAAGCACCTCTTGACAACTGGTCACCATATGAACCCGAATAATGCGTTCAAAATGTTCATACGATAAGGTTGGCAATCAGGGAAGCGCTTCTAATTAGAGCTTATCAACCTGTGCTATGTGCACAGAAGCTCTTAAGGCAATCAGTCAGATTGCCTTGGTCTTGATTTTGACAATTTAATTGGTGTGCCAATTTTTTCCCATGCAAATATTTGTGTCGGTGTTTCTGCTTGTATTGTGTATACGACTGATGAGAACTTGGCTAGTGTCAAAGCTAAATATTATGGTCAACGGTATTGGTTTCCATTGGTCAGTTGTCTTCGAATATAGTTGCCTTATCAACTTATCCCCAGAAATTGTGAGGTCGAAACAAAGTTCACTGAAATGGTACTTGAAACAGGGGCCGTACAACACACCTACCAACCGACGTACATAACAACGTTCAACTCTACCATGCCTTGATTTCACTTGATTTCACGCAAGCTATGAAAGACGTGTACGACATTCAGAACCTGAAGCCTCTGACAACAAGCAACCACTCAGATGTTTCCAACATGGAGCTGCCGCTTTAGCAATCTGGCACCCTGCAGTCCGCTTACAGTACTCGAAGTCGGATTTCGACTGCTTGAGTTCAACCCTTAGCAAAGTGAATTAGTCTCTGCCAAAATCCGCACCTGTCGATGCTTGCTGGTCAGTTAGAAAGAATGGAGTAACCACTCCGTGCAACTAATCTGTGCCTCTTAATTGTAGGAAAACCGGACCGGTCAAAGACATTGTTTCGAAAAGTGCTTGTGGTAAACTGACTCGGTGGCCCACACTGTAGCTCGGTAGATGACTACGAGGTTTATAAATAGCATCAAAACATTTGCAACAATGCGAAAACTAGCATGCGCCGGCACTTCCAAGAACAGCTCGCAACTGCAGCAACGACCACATCGAAGAGAAGCTTTGATTACGTGAAGCGGCACCTGAAGCAGGCAGGGAAATTATCGGTGATAGTGGATGCGGACAAACAGCCTGACCTCCAACCCTGAGTAGGCATCCGCACTGGCTTCCCACTTTGCTTCCGTGTTTGCAAACGGCCAGGTGTTTTTACCGAATTCAGTTTGCACCGCTCTCACAGAAGTGACAGCCTGGTTTGTACTGTGAAAGAGGTACGTCAACTAGTCACCAACCTTACCGGAACCAAGCCTGCTAGGCCTGATGTTTCCACCCGCTGATTCTGTAGTCTCTATAAACAGTCATCTTGCCTGCTGTGATTGACCTGTTCACCAACCGGTGGCCTGTTACAGTTTGATTCGAAATGTTATGTGATATGGCTGGTAGGGGAAGGTGGTGACTGCATAAAAGAAGACAATTACATGACAACTTGCTTGATACTATTTTGTAAAAGGTCACCACGAAGCTTGTGAAGAAGAGCTTGCTACAGCTGTGCCGGGCGAAAGACCTGATGTCCACACAGCACCGTTTAATGCCAGGCCGTACATGTATCACAAATCTGCTGGTGGAAAGTAAGGAATGATTGCATTCAGTGAACCCGGTGAAGTCTGTCGAGGTGATCTACGTCAATTTTAGCAAACTCTTCTAGAAGATGAAACACGAGGTTCTGCTCCACGAGCTAAGGATGCGTGCTGTTGACAAATCACTGCACCGGTGGATCCTAAACTTGCTCGTTGAATGAAAGGGGTGGGTATAAGTCCATAGCCACCTGACCGACAGGTATTCTTCGGCCAGTGACATAACCTAAAGCACATGCTGGGACTTACATTATCTTCGATTTATATAAGAAATCTACCACAGCTTCTTTGGTCGCCATCTGCCTTGTTTGCAGAGGAACTTAATATGTGTGCGGTCTACTCCAGCAAGACTTCAACCACTTCTCGATGTGATCTACAGAAGTTCACTTCCCCGTCAACCCATGCAAGTAGGTATTCATGATCCTGAGTAAGAGTGGTGAATACCGATCCTACACCATTGACGGCCAACTGCTACATCCCACACCTCGCGTGAAGGACATGTAAATACTCGCAGGTTGTAATTTGACTGCCGTGACAAGCTGACAGGCTACACCGAAACGGACTGCGCATCCTATGGGCACTCAAACGCAGCCTCCGCATCTGGTCTGAAGTGTGCGTTACTCGATCTTCTCCATCATAAGGGCGGTGTCAGACACTTATGGCAGGGTGGGGCAGATCGAAAGGGTCCAACACGTCGCTACCAGGCTCATCCCCATTTTACGGGATTAACTGCATGAAAACAGGTGCCAGATGCTGGGATTTTACACTCTAGGTTCTCGTCCGGTAAGAGTCGACTTCTCATGACCTACATCATGCTGCATCTAGGTGACTTCCCCATGCTTCACTTGAGATCACCTTACTGCACATGTGGACACCAGTACAAGCTTATGGTTTTAGATCTGAAGCGAGTTCCCCATCCTCTGTGCTTTGAACGATGGTCAAGATTTGAAACAGTTTGCCGAAAATAATATTGTTAGCATACTCAGTACAGCAGTTCTAAACATTTTTGGATGCGCAATGCTCTAACGTTGTATTCTGAGAACAACTACCCACTCTCGATGCTGTCACTTATTTGTGAGTCGCAACTTAATGTGTTACACGTATTACGATATTAAGCTAGTACTTGAAAAGTGATCAAGGCGTCGATGGCCCGTCATATTTTTAACACTTCTTACCATACTTCTATACTACGGTATTCAGTCACTTTGCTTCGACTGAACAATTCATACCAATACGTAAGCAACTCCTATTACAAAAATAGGGTTCACTGTGGGTAAATAGCCATGATAAATGTTTCTTCCAAAAGGTAGACAGCTGACAGATATAAAACATTATATCGGACTTTCGGGTTGTTCACGGAGCATCCGGTTGCATTTATAGGACCTACAACTGGGTTTTTGAATTTTATTCAACGAATATCTTCTTGCTCATGGTAACGAATGTCATCTACCAGACATTAAACGAGAAACGTTACGTTCACTTCTGGCTCATGCAGCCGCATGAAGTAATTCAAAAGTCCAAGGTAGTGGCCATTATACGTCTGTAATAAAACCAAAACTAAGAAACCGAATTTAGAAGCCAACTGCTGCTTCAGTTTGCCTTGGCAAAATATATTATTAGCTATTTCTTCTCTAGACGTCAATACGTTTCATCTGGGACTGGACCTCAAGAGTTTTCCACAAAACGGCGGTTTTACAATTCGAAACAACTTCTCAGAAAGTAAAACTAATTTCTTCTAGAGCACATCTGATTTCCAATCAAATTAGCTCCTAGAATAAAATTATTCTAATGTCATTTCCATTGTGAATTAGTTCACGCAACATGGCTAAATTAATTTCAAGATTCAGCTTCATAAACATCACTGCAAATTGTTGTGTGATAAGCTAAAATATATCAATAATTCCCCCAGTATATTGGCACTGCCCTTAGGCGGGATATTTACATATTTGCTAATTTAATAGTGGTACCTCCTGCAAATAAAAGTAGATTTATATCTTCGTTTTTACACTTACGCATAATGTGTCAGCATTTTGTCCATCTGTTTTCCATCCGGTGAATTCCACGTAAAACATGATTGCGTGACATTGTGAAACCCACATTGAAGCATCCAGGATAACGCTGGTTTATACACGGCAGCTCATGTTAGGCTAAATCTTAAGCGGCATGATGAACTTTCACAAATAAAACATTTTTCTCAGGTAGAGATAGTCTGAATTGGGAGTGGAACTCGGCACTTAGTACTTGGCAGCTACCGCTATGACCACTAGGCCAGTGACCTCTGCTAGCAATGCTTGACACAGCGGTTAGAAGTTGATGGTCGGGTTTTCGATCATGGATCGTTCGGTGTAGTAATGGGAGAGAACAAAACCAGAAAAATCCACTTTGGGTGCAGTCCAAGTGACAGAAACAGCAGGGACTAACTCCAAAGTCAACCGAAACCACAAATTAGATTGCGTGTCGTAAAACAAGACTCACGGCGGGTGCTCCAATTACTGAGTTTCTGAACGTTTTTCTTTTCTCGTAAATACTGCGTTATACTCTTAGCACTAACCTTTGTTCAAACCGATGTTCATAACGTCCGGCTGCTATGTTGAATGGAATAAACAACAACCCATTGAATAGTGATTTTCTTCTGTTAAACTTTATCCACTGGTTGTTTATATGACATTGGAATGGGTGAAGATTTGGGGTATCCGGGTCCCATCATTCAGGTGGTATCTACATCAATCATTTTATTCCACTGTGTAAATTTTAAAAGCGTTTTTATGCTTTCCATAAAAGTTGTGACATAAAGATCTTGGTTTTTATCTTTTGGTGTTGTTCAATGCATGTAGTCCTGACTCACGCCGGTTATTCCTATATTTTGGTTCATGTGCCAATTAAACATATGTGTTTTGAGTTACGGTAAATTTAATAGCAATATCGAGGTGAATGAGTTAAATAGACCGCTAAAATAAAAAGAGCTTCAAGATGAGTGTAAATAGATTTCCTCGGATTACCCAACGGCCATGTATGGCATTCTAAATTATGCTATCTACATGTTAAGAAATAGAGTTTCTGAAGCTATTACAGCTTTCGATAATTTGCCATTTTTAAAACTATTCACCTTTTTTCACGACATCTTTGCCGTTTCGCTAACTTTTAGACGAAGCACCCGAAGTCACTGTAGATAGTCAACAACTGTGGCGGAAGCTACGGAATGCATGTTTCCCACTGGGATTTCGCATGGAGTTCAAGCGGCTTATCAGGATGGCCTTGCCTATAGTAAGTGGAACGTCCATTGCACCTAAACAAAGGGATAAAAGTATTGATTCGGCGTCGCTTATCATGCTCCGTCTCCTAAATTATTGACAAGTCTTAGAGCTAACGCAACTCGTAATCAAATTAGAGCTGATATACAGGTTCAGTAATCGTTCTTATAATTTCAAAGCTTGATCGTGACAACCCATCTTCCCACTAGTTTCGTAAATGCCTTCGCTCTTCGTGTTCACGAAGCATAGTCGTACTGGCTGATATACATGGTTTTGCCACACTATCCGTTGCCTGATTCACCGGTGTTCACAAAAATCTTCCTTAGATATATTGTCATAGATACAGATCAATAACTTGTCGTGCGGGGCCCTCATGGCAACGCATGTGATCAATGCGGCACGCGACATATCTGTTGTTGAATTACTGTTGACTTACCAACCATTCTAAACTCCCTTTGCTTCCAATTTGGCTACGTTTTGTTGGCACCACTATGAACCATTTATTTGCCATGGACATGAATACATACGATTCTGGTTACTTGTTCACACTACAAACAATCATATTGAGTCCATCTGGTTAGGCATGTCTCCCTTAACTATCACCCAATAAAAGAAGTAATAGTGCTTGCCACTTATCAAATTTGGGCTTCATTCTGTAGCTTAAAAGCAATCGTGTCATGTCTATTCTTTTCAAATCCTTGACGCTTTATATTCGCTGCTCTGGTTAGTGCACCATACAGATTAGGAGGTATAGTGCGGAGTCATCTACAGAAGTGTGACAATGTGGAATATAATCTAGTCTAGTCAAAAAGCAGTGAAATAAGGACACCTTGGTATAGCAGATGGGCACTGGGTATAGGCCAGTCAGATAACACTACACTTTACGACGGATTTCAAACTCAGTTGATCTAATCGGTTAACGGTAGCAGGTACCAAACCAGAGATCATTGGGATGTTAGCCTAAGCAACATCTGCTTCATAAGTTACGGCCCGGTGGTAGATATGGCCAAGATTCATTGCGATGCTAGTCAAGGTCCACATTTAGATTACGTGTTGCAAACCACTCACAAATTCACTGAATCAAAATGACCTCTCCAGACACTGTAGTGTCACTTAAAACGGAAATCTTGGGCCTTACATCACTATGAAGTTCAGCTTTCCTGTTACAGCAAGCTTTTTCGGAGGCTGAAGTTTGTTGACCACATTAGAACGGTTTTGCACTTGTTAACGCACCATGAACGAAACTAGACCAAAGGCGTCTGAGGAATGTCACAATAATTTCTGGGTAGTTGTCACGGGCAATAGATGAAAAACTCAAGTCAGTGGTTTACCCAGAAGTCCAGATCAGTGGCTACTCGTGCTTCCGGTGCGACAGACTATCAAAAGATTTAGGCAGCTTGCTGTTATACATGCGGGTCAACCTGCGCGGGAGACTGGTACCCAGTTACCAAGGCAACGAAGGTTTGTGCGATGCGAAGGTTTGTGCCCCATGTCTATATTGGTTGCCCCATGTCAGAAACTAGATGAGCCAGCCCCACTTCCTGCTTATGGGCGATAGTAACTTCCATCGGATACTGTATTCTAAGGTACAACTTCTACACTGGCACTTCGAAATTGAAGTGCAGTTTACGCACAGGGTATTTGACACGGAGGCAAAACAACACGTCTGTCAAGGGACGCGCGTTCCACCACATTTCGCTCCATCATGCCTGAACCTACTACTAACGAGTTGCAGGCAATGTGTACATGAAATTCAGGTCTTGGAACCTCTGGCAGATAGTGACCAATCGATGGCGTTAGTCAGCCTAAAGCTGCCGCCGCCCTAATCGCTTCCAGCGGAGTAGTCCGACAATTAGTATAAGACCGTCTTCAATGGTCTCAATTGAGTAGCCGGTGGACCGCAGGATTCATTTGTTGAAGCCGGTTGGGCTGTTATAAAAGACGGTGTGCACTCGTTATGTGCTCGTTTTGTACTCCCCAACTACCGTAAATGTGGACCAGTGTAGTCACAATGGTTCAACAGAGACTATGCCTAATTAGCTCCAAGATGACGCATATTGTGGAATAAATTCTTCGTGGCTGGCTGTGCCGACGATTATGTGGCGTACAAAAGCTAGAAGCATCTACGCAACGGTGCAGAAGCACAAAAGCATGGACAGTTCAAAGGGGGACTTGCTACCCCAGCGGAGACTGTCTCCAAGAAAATTTCGCATATGTGAAGCAGCAGTGCGTTAGAGGACACTGACGGACAGCCTCTGACCTCCAGCACTGAACGTGCGTTCGCATTGACGGAGCAATTCGCTTCCGTATGTACAAGTGAAGGTGCGCCTATGCCGAGCTCGAAGTGTGTAGCTGCTACTGAACTCGACGGCCTAGATTGTGACGCAGAAGACGTCTGCAGTCTACTCTCCAGTCTTGATGACACAACATCTGTCGGACCTGATGGACTTCCCCTGCTAATTTGGAAATCCTTATCGGCCATTAGCTCGCTTGCTGTGACGGATCTGTTCAACAGATCAATGTCCGAGAATGCATTACCGTGCGACTGGAAATGTTCAGAAGTCAAGTTGATTCAGGAAAGCGGTGACGAACGCAATGTGAAGAGTTAACGGCAGACTTGTCCCACCTCTGTTTTGGCGGAGGTGCTCGAGAAGATTGTGCATATGAGTCTTCTCCAGTTGCTACAGTAAAAATACCAACTAAAGCCTGCACAGCACGGCTTCCTGATTGGCCGCTCCTGCATCAGGAACCTGCGGTTGACGCAGCGGGAACAGTTGCAGAATTGCACGCGGAAAGTAATTGGATTTCATTTATCGCGTTGCCGAGCTGTGTCTACCGTAAATTGCCGCACATGACCGGCCCTGAGAAAACCCCGACGAAGTCTAACGGCGGTCCGGAGATCCCATCGGATCTCATACGATGCACTACGCACACAAGTGCGGCGTCTGCCTACCCCAACTTGCACAACGCTTCACGCGATGAGGCGCAGACTAGGGATACTTGAACGATCGACACATTCTGGTCAGTGTTTGAGGACAGAATGTCTCGCGGAAAACTGGATGTCTGTAGGTGCCGTACTGACCGATGTTTAGCTGTAGCACTGAAGTTACCGTTACGTACAGGGTCTACTGATGTACAAAATTGACATCGCTTTGGCGAACGAAGGTACACGTGGTGTACAACTGCTGCTATTTCATCGCAGCTATGTTCCCATTAAAGTAGACAGACTGACGTACACGTGAGAACTAAGTTTTCCATGTGCTCGTAGTTGCATCAAAAGTTATGCTAAAACACTGTTACGGTGGGCGCGCCAGTGGACTGAAAACTATCTTCCAAAAACACCACTTTCAACTAAGACTTTCATATTAGGAATAATAACAACGTGGTAGTACTTTGCTTTCCTGTTAAGTGAGCCAACTTCTATCTGAAATTTCTCTTTCCTAAATAATCTACAATACTTAAAGATTATCCGGTTGTTTCAGTTCTGTTTAGCGCAGTTGGTAATTCATGATCCGGGCACCAAAGTGGTGTGGATGCAGTTGCCACGAATCACATCACCAGAGTGGCAAAAACAAAGAATTATAACTAAATGTGGTTAGGCTTAAATATGGTATTAGCAGCATAGAAGCAAGAATGAGGTGCATGAAGCTAATCGCACTGAAGTATGGACAGCTACACGCGAGAGAACGAATCCAGGGGCAGCACTGACTCCGACGATGCGCGACGTCCGATAGAGTTTCTAACCATTGGTTTGGACTAGAACGAGGCCCCATCTACGAAGACGGCAAGTACCTACTTGACAAAGTCTTTCGGTCAATTTCAGCGTGAAGCATGGAGAATTAACATAGTTTGATCGGGTCTTCATTATCATACATACTATTAATTGCACGAAAAATGTATTAATATGAGAATCCAGTTAACCCCACGTATCTGTTCTTTCATAGTGAGCAATCTGACATTACTGAAAATGGTTTGGCAGAGTACAGGATTGTTCTCCTTGTAATATATTAATATCAGACAGTCTTGTATCATGTGTAAACTTCCCATGGTTGTAAACGTGGTCACAACGGTTAACCTGCTAGCAGCTGGGATCCGAGTATGAATTCGCAACCCCATTCACCAAGCAATTAGTGCAGAATCTTGTTAGTCGCGTGAAACATTTTTATCTTATTTTGGGGATGAGCGGCATACCGCCCAGATATTCTCATGATTTCACCCAAAACTGTAACTCCTGAGAACGATTGTTATCGGTATGTGGTACATTGGATCAAACATGTACCAGCGTCAATGCAAGGTAGGCATTCACCCGCCAGTGAGGTGTGTGCAGTTTGTCCTAACAATGGGACGCAAAGATGCACGGTAAAACAAGCAGAATTTATGCAGCATAAGGGAACCTACCCAGCTAAATGGAACTCAACACATTGGGACCAGTAGGTACACAATGCAACTTCACGGGTTTACCTTTCATTGAAAGAACCCAATCTTCGTCAGTTTCGTACACTCCAGATTCAGATATTGAATCCAAACGATCCGGATAAACGGAATACATTTTGCCGTACAAGCGATTGCTTCAGACTTGCGTACTGCCACATTTGGAGGCGGATGGAGTTCGCAGTAGCATTTGGTTTCAGTATGATGGTGCACCAGCACATTATGCTCAATCGGTGTGAGAAAAATCTCTGCGAGGAATTCGGCCGATGTTCGATCGGGCATGGAGGCCCTGTCGAGTGGCCCCCACGGTCACCCGATTTTAACCTACTGGATTTTTGCTCTGGGAATATTTGAAACGAAGGGTTTACAGAAATAAGCCGATTTCCCTCGTGCTATTGCAGCAGAATATTGTGAATGAATGCCACGCCATCATCACCTTGAGATTGCAGGAAGCACTTGTTAACTGCATCAAACCATTTCTCTGCTGTAGTCGGAATGCAGGTGGACACGTTCAACATCTCCTTCCATGATATCTATGTCGGTCTAACCCTGCTTCCGTAAATATATGTATCAGGAATCTATTGTACGCGAACTTAATTCTATGAGCATTGCTTGCTTTTTCAGAAGACTGAGCCAGTCCGAAAGCCATGATAACTTGGGGGTATGCGATGCGTAGATTAAAGTCTACGTATTTGAGCCGTTGGAGCAAGTGTTCTCCAATCCACACCGGAGGCATAAGTGAGAGATTATTGGGGGCTTCGATACGTCGTTTATAGACAAATTAGTTCTCGGTCATGGTGTTATTGCACACCGAGCTTCTTGCTTGTAGCAGAGGCCTCCGTTTGGTTACCGTGCAGCTTACCGATCTGTGTCATTGCGCCTAGTCTATGCAAACTCGGTGATCCATATTTTGCTCCGCCATGTCTACCTTTGTAGGCTGCTACATATATGACCGTGAGACTTGGTCAGGCAAGTACTTCAACATGGCATTTGACAATTTTACTGTAAAAGGGATGGACTTATTGTTTTTAACACAGTAGTCTTTCTCTCCGCACACATGATTTAGGTTGTTTAGAAGCAGGTATGCCATTATCTGGTCGTATTGAGCATGTCGGATAATGGAGATTTCGAATTGTCCGAATGTCCGTCACTGCAACCCTATGTGTTGGTTATCAGTTTTCGATTCCTTTTCGGATGGCTGGGAACAACTCACGTCATCCTGAATCAGAGCGCTTAGGTCGCATTCGACGGAAGGTCGCTGCAGTACTTGCGTTCCGAGCATGTAGCAGTAGGTACTCTGGTGTTTTATGGTGAGTACCTTGCATCTGCTTACGTCGAAAGTTCGCGACTTTTCATTTGGCCACTGCTGTACCATGTCCAATTCATGTTGCAGCATATCCAGATCGGCCTGCGAATGAATCGTGGGCTATTTCTTGACGTCGTCACCAAACATTGCAAAAATTGAATCCATCGTCTGTGCCAGGTAGTTGACAAATACCAAAAACAATCATTGCCCTAGAACAGAGTCCTGAAGCATGCCACATTCGACAGCTATGGGTCTGCTAACGAGTTTCGAACTCTAACCACCAGCTGCCGTTGTAAGAAAAAGTTGGCAATCTAGGTGAAAGTGGGTCACCTATACCATAATACTGCAGCTTGGAGAGAGGAATCCGTTGATCCAGGCGGTCGAATGCCTTCAAGAAATCTTAGTAGACTACATGGACGTTCTCTCCTGCGTCAGCTGACTCGGTCCAAATACTCCGGGCTATCAGTAAACTTGTTGTACACGATCGCTGTCGACGAAAGCCATCTTGCTCGAGAGCAGTGAGGTTGTAGTTTTCCGGGTAATACACCAGTGCATCGGCGACGATGGACTCCATGAATTTGGGCAGTACAGGATGAAGTGATATCGCTGAAAGAATTAAGTCAACGGTTCTGCAAGTTGTCGTGACGCTGCTCTCAGTGCTTCTGGGCGAGCAATATCGACACCAGGGGAGCTGTGGTTGAGCGGATACGTAAGCTTTGCATGACAGCTTCCTTGGTAAAAGTGATATGCTTTAATTCCTGCATGGGGGTAACAAACTCTACAAGATCATTTGGTGGCAAGACCAACTTAAATGCAGATTCATATTGCGTTCGTGGATGCTATCTTTCAGTGTGTGACAAAACTATACTTCTGAGAACAACTGCTATAAGGCTGGTGCTAATGTATGCATCTGAGACTTGACCAGTTCGTACGGAAGACATCAAACTTATGGATGGCTTTGATCACCGGGTCTCGCACAGTATTATACGCATCTGGTTGGAACGCACGGTGAGTAGGGCTCAGGACGGCTAGTTGCTTTTCTTCGCAAGAAACGCTCCGGTGCCTCATTTCCGTGCCTGTTGAAGTGGAATCGCTGCGATTGCTTAGGTCATGTACTCCGTACACCAGTTAGTCGCCTTCCTCGGCAAGCATTAGAAGCCGTCACTGCACCAAGTTGGGAGAAACCACGAAGTGTTTAATCGATGACATGGCATAAGGATGTGAAGAAATGGACCGAGAGACTTCGACAAGTAGGCACGTGCCGTCTTCGTAGATGGGGCCTCGTTCTAGTCCAAACCAATGGTTAGAAACTCTATCGGACGTCGCGCATCGTCGGAGTCAGTGCTGCCCCTGGATTCGTTCTCTCGCGTGTAGCTGTCAATACTTCAGTGCGATTAGCTTCATGCACCTCATTCTTGCTTCTATGCTGCTAATACCATATTTAAGCCTAACCACATTTAGTTATAATTCTTCGTTTTTGCCACTCTGGTGATGTGATTCTTGGCAACTGCATCCACAGCACTTTGGTGCCCGGATCATGAATTACCAACTGCGCTAAACAGAACTGAAACAACCGGATAATCTTTAAGTATCGTAGATTATTTAGGAAAGAGAAATTTCAGATAGAAGTTGGCTCACTTAACAGGAAAGCAAAGTATCATTACGTCGTTATTATTCCTAATGTGAAAGTCCTAGTTGAAAGTGGTGCTTTTTTCCCACAATGCTTTTTTGGAAGTTAGTTTTCAGTCCACTGACGCGCCCACCGTAACAGTGTTTTAACACAACTTTTGATACAACTACGATCACATGGAAAACTTAGTTCTCACGTGCACGTCAGTCTGTCTATTTTAATGGGAACATAGCTGCGATGAAATAGCAACAGCTGTACACTAAGTGTACCTTCGTCCGCCAAAGCGATGTCAATTTTTATTTACATCAGTAGACCCTGTACGTAACGGTAACTTCAGTGCTTCAGCTAAACATCGGTCAGTACAGAGCCTACAGACATCCAGTTTTCCGCGAAACATTCTGTCCTCCAACACTGACCAGAATGTGTTGATTGTTCAAGTATCCCTAGTCTGCGCCTCATCGCGTGAAGCGCTGTGCAAGTTGGGGTACGCAGACGCCGCACTTGTGTGCGTAGTGCATCGTATGAGATCCGATGGGATCTCCGGACTGCCGTTAGAATTCGTCGGGGTTTTCTCAGGGCAGATCATGTGTGGAAATCTTCGGTGCGTCCAAAACAAGCGGTAGACACATGCCGGCGACAGGATACATTGCTTTCAGTAAACCTTTCGACAAATAATCCATGGGGTACTGCTTCACCATCTGAGGAATTCGGTGTTGGTGGCCCACTGCACTAGTAGGACAGCAGCTTACTTATTTGGAGAATATGGCGGCTAAATTTGGATGATCACCTATCAGACTGGTACCCCTCCACTAGCGGTATACCCCAAGGCATAGTACTGGGGCCCATTTTATTCCTGATCCATATCAAGGAAGTACCGCGGCTTCTTTGCGTTGTATACTGTTTGCAGACGACGTGAAGTTTTGGAGGGCTATTGATTGTCCCGACGACTGTAATGTCTTTTAGCTGGACCTTGACTGCCTATCCCTGTGATTTGCAGAAGTTGACCTACCGGTCATCCCGGCCAAGTCCCCGTTTATGAGACTAAAATGTTTGGCGATTGGCATGTATACACCCTGGCGAGCAACGCGCTGCATCCCACTAGTTCCGTAAAGGATCTATGTGTACTCTCACGCTGTGATTTGAAGTCTGTCGGCAACGCGCAGAGTCTACGCAAACGTACTGCGCCTGCTTTGTGCTCTTAGACGCAGCTTCTGCACTGCGACTGAAGAGATTGCCACCCGTCTGTTCTGTTCCATGATAAGACCGGTGCTTGAGTACAGCTCACACGCTTATTGGAATGAGTCCAACAAGTTGCAACCTGGGTCACCCCCACTTACTGGGTATGTCGTAAGAGTCCTGATGTAGGAGACTAGCGCTTTATACCCTGTTATGTCGTCGGCCTCGACTTGACCTCATAATGACGCATCGCATGTTGCACCTGGGCCACTTCCCTATGTTGAAGCCGCTGCTACACGTTTGCGCACCAAGCAGCGCACGCGAACACTGGTACAAACTAGTGGTACCAGATGTAAAGCGTATCGCTCATCTTCTATGATTCGAGCGTCGAGTGGTGCAATTTTGGAACAAATTGCCGTAGACGCTAGTCGATGCGAAATCAGTGCCGGAATTCAATTTCTTCTTTGACACATACTTTGCGGACTACATGTATAGGGAGCGTATCGCACCCAGATAAGTTGTAGTGCAGCTGCAATATGCTGCCACCACGTAGGAATCACCGACGTTGTTTCGCGCATGCGCCGGATCCACCTACGATGGAACAATCAAAATTTCATCTTCTTGCGCTTTATTCTCAATATTCATTACTGCATCACTCGCAATAATCAATGCAAATCCTGTGAATAAAAAGTTAGAAGCGGAGGAATGTTGATTAATCCAAATTACAACGCTACGTTATTTCCAATGGGCCAACGGTTGAGAAAATTGTATGCGTTGGCTTGAGTGAAGATTGTGAGCCTACATTCGAATTACCTGAAAACAGTGTTTCCTTACCTTGGTATGGGTCACTCGCTACTAAAGTGGTAAAAGTTTGTTCAACCACGTTCAGTGTACATGCGCAACCGTATGGCGAATTAACTGCAAAATGTAAGCGTGGTATGCTTAGGTTTGATGTTTGCTTGGCCCAAGGAAAAAGGATCGGAATTTCGAGCCAGATCATCACGCTGATGTTGATCACCATTACTCGAAAAACGATTCTCTGCCGGTTAGATGCCTCTGGATCTGCCCGGAATTGTAATGTAATTGCATGTTCTTGTCGTGAGCGTAGGTTATGTCATTTTACGATTTGTCATTGGCATACCCTTCTTGGTTTGCCAACAGATGAGCATAAAAGCAATTTCTCAGTCTTAAAATCAAAGAAACGCAAGCATGTTTGTTTGGAACTTAATACTCGGCTGTAAGCTCGGCTTTAGTATAACAAACCTTGAACAGGGGTTTAGGATAAGAGTTATATCTTTTTACTTTCTGAGCACGCACTTGAGCTTTGTTTCTTGATTCTTCATTTTGTAGGCTGTCGCTTCCTTTTTCAGTTATACATTTGGACCCGTGAGTATCGCTTTTTGCGGTCGACTTGGCAAAACGGAGTTGGCCACGATCGGCTTGGCAATGTCAATATTTAATATGGCTGGATTATTCGCGACAAGTGGATTGCTGACGGCTAGTGACACCATGTTTTCACAGGTACTTATATCGCAAACGTTTTCACATTAAGTCGGATACTCAATCTGTCATCTCGCATCAATGCTACCTCAGGGTATAAAAGTGAATGCTGATGACAACTGTGGAAAATTTGTGTTCTACTTTACTGACCAAAATAGGTAACGTTACCCTTCAAATATAGTGAACGGATTCCGTGTTACATGTAGCTCCGTACCGGGAAGTTGCAAATTTTCCCTAGTCAACTAACATGTCAGAGTCTAATAAAGCATGACAATATATTTCGGCTGCTACACCAACATACAATGAACATTCAGAATATTTATACCACTTCGTACATTGATAAGGGCGTAGTACACTAGTAAGATAGCGGCTAGCTTTTTCAAACCGATAAACAAACAAATAATGGATTTTCGGTCGCATCCAGCAATAGTGAACCTGTTAACCTTCACAGATAAGGTTAAGAACACTTAACGAATACATGTATTTGGCAAGCTAGTTAGCTTGAACCCGATACACAGCAACCCAGATCCTTTATGCTGCTGTTTGAACAGACAAAGTTTAGCTAGGAATTATAGTGACAATACAGTCCAGGAAGGTAAAAATATCATGTCTTAATTTGCTTGTTTAATGTCCATAGCAGTGACAAAATTGCTGACGGCTACAATTGAGAGCTTTTAATTTTATAATCCACTTGGATGGATAAACGTACCTGCATACTTCATACAGATTAATAATTTGCATTCCTGTACCAAACGAATAAACCCAGTCAATTTTGTGTGTTTGAAATAAAGTCCTAAAGTTTCTACTTTGTCCTCCTTCACCAGATTCACAAGGGAGGTGTAGCCTTGATATGGATTCAACAGTCGCAGACTCTAATCATATTTTTCGTTAAAGGTGTGGAATATTGCACAACTTGCGCTGAGTTGTGGTTTAACTTTGATTTAAAGTGAACATTTTTGGGCCAAAAGTGAAAAGTCCTTAATACGCTACACGTATTCCACTGAGCTCCGCTCTTTGGTTATCTGAAAATTTGAAAGAGTTCCTCCTGGATGAAAACGGTTAACGTTTTCCTATAGAGGTGAACATTCCGTAGTAGGAAATATGGTGAGCCGTTAAGAGAGAGGATTGTGTTCGAGGTTGATGAAATATGCAGGTAGCTTTTGACACTTAAATGGATCATCGTTACCTACGTCTAAGATGAGAGGCTAATCTTCTACTTGTTGGCTAGCTGGTTGCAGTCATAAACAGTTGTACTATCGATAGCGTCTGCTTAAAATTTGTGTATCGAACTGTATTAAAGGAGTAACAAATGTGTGTGCATGTTAACGTTTTACTGCCGGAAGCATTGATGGTTTTGCGCTTTGCAAAGACGAGCATCTTCATGTATACGAGACTGAATGGACATATTTAGCTAACCAGGGATGTTAAGACTTACTGGAATATGATGCATTTACCATAGACTGCTTTTACATCACGAAACCGTGGCTAATCTAGGCTTCAGCAGTTGTACGGGACTGATATTAGTACGGTTTAAGTAAGGGTAAAAAATCGAATGCTATTCGCAGACGGTGAGTAATGCTAGTCAATTCACAGTGGCCTGTATGATCACGGTTAAGTTCCGGTAAGCCGTGTTCGCCGCAAAAGAAATCAAAAGCAACATGAATCAGATATCACTAAACGGTACTTTCAAGTAAAGAAGGCACTTATGAGGCTTTAAATGGTATTTCGGAAGAAGATCTCGCCCATCAATATGGCAACGAAATCCCCTCCGTATGCAACACGTGCACTGTATTGGTCAGTCCAGAAGCAAATCTACGTGAGTATCCAAGGTCGTGAGTACCATCATGATTCCACCATCTCCCACGGAACACTGAGTGTGTGCAAACTGGTGCACTTAGGGTGCGACCTAACAGAAGCGCACTTCAAAAAGAATGGCACAAACACAGTGCACAAGCACTTAGAGATGTACGGCTTTGAGTTGAAAACTAACCTTTTGGGATGTACGCTACATATTTGCAACAGTGGTAGCCTACTGCATCAAGGATTGCAGTTGCCGAAGGGTGTAATGCGAAAGGCTCCAACCTTCCCTTAGAAAATCTGACGGCTATATGCTACCAAAGATCAGATAACAACTTCACCAAATCATCATCTAGTAATTTCGAGGTCCATTACACTTATGGAACGACGGTGTTTTACGGGTAAAATATCAAACGCTTAAAAGGTCCCGTAAGGTGACCAGAAGGAGAACCACAAAAAGAAATCAATGATAACATGAAAGGCGTTTTGGTGGACTCACTGTAATGTTCACATAGACTCGTGCATAAAAGAGCCACGCTCGATTGCGTAGGTTCATGCCGGTCTTACAAAATCAGTCACACTTTATTGTCGGTCGATTTAGCCTATATCTCTTAATGCTGGTATGTCATTGCAAGGTCGAAGCGTTTTTAAACACTGATAAATTCAGGGCGAAAACAAGCTAATTTGGGAAGACGTTCCATGGCTGGCATACACGAAGAGAGCAAAAGTTTCGCCGATATTCTAGCCGACTGTATTGCTTGACCAACAGGATCTGGTGGCCCCACAAATTCGTGCTGTGACTGAGTTGTAGTAGAGGACGGCAGACTTGATTGGAGCTCCTCAAAATCTGGTAGGCTATTAGTAGGTTGAGACGTACTGCCGATCCTAACCGCCTCGGCCTAAGTTGTTAGGAAAGGTAAAACAACACTTTGACTTGCTCGGTGGGTCTTTGCTGTGGGATCTGTGCCGCTACGACATTTTCCTTGTGCCCTTGCTGTCAGGCCTGGATTGCGTAATTTACACGAGGTCGCACGCAATTGCAGATAGACAGATGGATCAGATGACCACATCTCCTTTGCAGCGTGCTAACTTGTTGGTTTTCAGTCTTCGCCGCTTCACAGGTTGTTCTGATCAGCCCAGATCAGCCTGCGTTTGTGCCCTCAAGGTCGCACTTTTGAGTAGCTGCCTGCCGTTTATGATTTCCAAACTTGTAGATGATGTTACGCTGATGACGAATGTGGGCCGCCGCACACTTAGCTGGGTCTAACTGGAGCAGATTACGAAGTGACCATTCCTACGACTTGTCTAGGTCTAGTTGAAGTGTATCGTAATCTCCTTGGTCGGCGATCATCCGTCACCTATTTACATCATTTGAGGAAATGAAGAAATCCGAGACAATGAGATGTTTGAGCTCACTAATGAATAAGGAAAATAGACTCTGTCTCAGCAATGATGCTTGTGGACTCCACCTTCGACATAAATAGGACCGGACAGCACACTTCATACTCTACTTTGCAGTTGTCGATTCAGCAAAGAATTCCTGATTCACCTAAGGATAGAAGCACTAAACTTTATAGCATTCGAGCCTGTGAAGCAGAATATGGTGGACCAGGCAGTCTATGCCTTGGAAGAAGTCGAGATAAATGACGACGGTCCTTCCACTCTTGTTAGCCGTTTCCGTCAAACTACAGCTTGCACTCATTAGGTTGCTTTTGTATGAACCGTGTTTACAATAACCGTGCTGCTCAGGTGATATAATGTTGTAGCATGCTGGATGGTCCACTAAAATCCCAGCAATGGTTGCACTAATCACCTGTGAGAGTATAGGGAACGCCATCCCTAGTTGGTAGTATGCGGGTTCCGAAAGCATAGGCTTTTGAAAAATTGGCGTGACTATATCAGGTTTTCCATGGTAGGCATAAGTTGTTATTCCGAGCAAATTTGGGAGAAATGCTCTAATGTGTCGGATAACGTTGTTGCTGCTACGTTCAGCGCTCTCGGGTAAGTGTGATCGATTCCGGGAGAATGATAAGCGGGCAGTAAGAGCAGTTTTTTCAGAAGACTAAACGCGATGTCAGTAAATGTTGACAGTGGAGCTAAAGGTGCTGGTGGGTAACAGTCGCGGACGTCTGGTTGGAACCTCTGCGCATATTGCATCCGTATAATACGGGTAGCTTCTTCATCGCTCTGTACCACTCCGATGGTCGTGTTAAGTGGGTGGATTCGGTGCTTCACTTTTCGGGAGATGTTAACGAGTTATATAGGAAGATTTGCTTTTGGCAACTTTATAAGCCAAATATTGCTGGTGAGCCATGTTGTCCTCACGGACAAGCATATTATAATGTTTGCGCTAGGTCACGTAGTCGCTCCAGGTTTCGGGACTAGGATGGGCTCTGTAAGGGTGCCAAGCCGCATTCCTTAGTGATATGCTTTTCCGAATTCTGATTCTAATGAAGGAACATGGTGTGTTAGGGCGAATCCGCTAAGTTTCTGTAGCAGTTACCATCAAATTGTGGATTGTCAAACAGACTGAATCTAGACGCCCTCAGAGGAGCCACCTTTCAAGTATACCCAATTTGTCATCGCATTCAGCTCGTTCAGGATGTTTTACCGTGTGATAACACATGTTAGTTCTTTGTGTACCTCCGGATATTCAGCGCGACATACATAGTCATAAAGTATGGTGACATGATCACTTTTCCCACGTCGTTGTCTATCAATTGCCTGCCGATCATGAGTTCCTCATTTGAACTCGCCAAGTCAAGTACCGATTGTTTGTTTCAGTTTTGTGCCTGGTATGTGACATGATGTGATTGTACTGTTGAATAGTTGCGATAAGGTATTGCAGTTCGATCTTGAATGCTTCTCTGGGGTTTCGGATGCGTCCAGTTCGTGCACTTTGAAATCGCCGGAGACATGAAGGTGGCTGCGGGTTAGGGGTAAGTTTCTTCTCAAAGACGACTTTAGGTGGCAAGCTATCTGGAGTGGACGATGGGGGCAAGTAACGTCAGTACGAAGCCGTTGTCATTGCATCGAAGAGGCAAACTATACCATAACCAATCGATGACCCACATCTCCAAATAATGTAGCGTTTCGCACTGTAAGTCGTTATATTATAGGATTCTGCCACCGCATACTGGGACCATCACCTCCGGACAGTGACATTCCCTGAATTGTGATCGCGGCATCCATAACCTATGAGCACAACCAAGTCTCGGTCGTGC